CTTTTCTATCACAGATGTCCAAATACTTATTGGTAGTCAGTGTAGAAGAGCACACAAATAGATTTTCATCTTGCCAAAAGTGTGACTAATTTTGAGCAGGGAAAGTTGATTTTATGCTGGCTGTGAAGAAAGAGAATCTATTACAAATGCCAAATGAAGAATGCTAAACTAAATATTTTTATATTTCATTTTGAATGGCACATTTATTTTTATTTTCAGTTTTATTTGAATAATAATATAGCATAGTTTTATTATAATGAAGATGATCAGTTCATGATAAAGTGAATATGGTATTTTTAATTCTCAATTTTTTTAAAAAAAATTTTTCTTCTGTGATTTCGGCAATATGTTATTTATTAACACAGCCTACGAATTGATAAACACTGTCTTGAAGAAGTTGAGTTTGCTGCTAAACTTTCAGCCCTCTCACCAAATTCCCAAACTACAACCATCTAGCGTCATCAAGAAATGAATATAAAAGTAAATACAAAAGCATCTCATACACAATTTTAAGTCAAGTGACACTTTTCAAACTTAAAGAATGTACAGTTATAATTTATGGTAAAATATAATAATATGCATTGCAAAAAATTAAAATTTAACTTTAAGCTTTCTTACTAGGACCTGCTCATCATTGATGAAATTTGCATCAGAGAAAAGTTTTTCCATGAGTTCAGACATTTCATGACTTGACTGTACCTGCTTTTATCAATATGATTCAATATAATTAGGGCACAATGCCCAAATGTAATTAAAGCAGATGCATAGCTGATACATTCTTCTCAAACAAGATTTTTAGTAGAATGAAGGGCTCCTTCCCATACAATCGTAGCACATATAAAACCTGTGACACAGTATCTACTAAAATCAGACTAACCTGAGGTTTCTGTCATGTGTTACTTGCATTTGTTAGAAAGCACATCTTAAAGGTCCACCAAAGGCCTCCTAAGAGGCAACATCTTAGAACATAGTTAAGAGCCAGTAGGATACCTTTATATTTTGCACCAAGCATTTTACAATCAGATTTGAATTTGGTAAGCAAGAAGTTAAGTCTGTGGATTCTGGACTTTCCTTTTTCAGCATTCTATTTTTGTGCGTGCGTATGAATTACCATTTATAAAAAGTAAAGCATTTCCAACAACAACATAAAGCATAGCAGAAGTCTCAACTAGGAAATAACTTAATAGTTGACTGTTTTTGAGTTACGCTGATTATTCACCAATACTTGACATTGCAAGGATCTTTGGGTATGCAGCTGTACTTAATACAGACAGAAGCAAATGGTTTATGCTTATACAAGAAGCCTTGTTTTCACCAAGAAAGTCCTTTGCCACTTTATGATTCCGATGAACTCATTATAGAGTAAAAAACTCCCAGCTGATGACAGCATATTAAGTCCTCTTTCATCTCAGCTAACACTCAATACCGAGCAGATACCGAGAAGAAGGCCTTGCCCTTGCCTTTGAATGCATGAGAAATCATGGCAGAAACCAGTTTCCGGTTATGCAAATCTTTTTCTTCAGAATGCCAGGGGTATGTAACAGAAATCCGGTCATGGACACTTAGCCGACAACCACTTAACCGACACCAGTTAGTCTACAAGACATTTAGCCGAAAGGGACACTTAGCCGACAGAACATTTAGCCAACAGGACACTTAGCTGACAAGACATTTAACCAACACGGACACTTAGTCGACAGGACATTTAGCTGACAGGTCATTTAGCTGACACGGACACTTAACAAACAAGACATTTAGCCGACACGGCATTTAGCAGACAGGACATTTGGCCGACAGAGAGAGTTAGCCATCAGGACATTTGGCTATGGGATAACTGTCAACGCATTTAGTCAACATGACACTAAGCCGACAGTGACGTTTAGCTGACACGTACCCAATAATTACTCAAACTTACGCTCAATTAAAAAATTTCTCGACTTATCCACAAGTTCAATATTTAAGTTATTTTCCCCCTATCAGTAAAATTTATTTTTCGATTCTTAAAGATCTCATATGTTCTTTTAATTATTGTTTTAATTTAGCATTGTTTCATATTTATCGTGCTGTTTGCTGTATATTGGCCAAATTGAAAAAGCGCTGAAATTTCTAATCAGGGAATATGAATTAAATTTCGAAAAGAAAAAATACTTTTTTTAGCCAAGTACGGAGGTCATTTAATTACATTTTAATATGATCTTCAAATATTACCTGTAAAGCTTCTTCATTTAGTCAACTGGGTTCTTTTGAACACTTTCACATCATTAATTAGTTTTTTTCTTTACTTCATGATATTGATTTTCCAATCTCGCTTCTCCAAATGATTTCAAATTTCTAATACCTTTACGTTTCATTACTATTTTACTCATCACATCATGTTACATTCTTTCCCTTTACAAAAGTGTTTGGCTCCTCTCACTAATGAAATTTCTTTTCCCTGTCCCCCTAAACTGAAAACGAGAAAGAGATGCCCAAAGGGGGAGTAGACCCATAGTGTGCTTAGTTCACAGGGCGGGGAAGCCAAGAACTTACCCTCTATGTCATCCAGATGAGTTCATTGAAAAATGTGAAGATGGTCATAATGTCTGGGTGATCAGTATAGTTCATTTCTTCTTTTTCCAACTATTAGATTATTCACAAAAAGTAAAAGTGAAGCTGACTAAATACTGCATAATCTTTATGTTGATGATTTAATTTATGGAGCAGATACCGAGAAGAAGGCCTTGCCCTTGCCTTTGAATGCATGAGAAATCATGGCAGAAACCAGTTTCCGGTTATGCAAATTTGCCACGAGTTCTGAAGAACTGAAATATATCAACAGTGAACGAGTCTTTAATGATATACTGAATGGGGAAAAGATGAATAGTTCTTCATGACTGATTGGGTTTGACCCAACATTGGATGTTACGTTTAGGAGGATGGCTTCAAAATTTTACTGCTAATCAAAAACACCCGAGTACTTCCTGGAAAGCCTAAATTTACGGAATTTTTAATTATACAAGAACATCAAAATGTGTGCTGTATTTGGTTGTTTCTGTGACATGTTCATACAAATTAGAGACCATTACTTGATAACAAGAGGTTGTCAAAGCGTTACAAGGGTTCTGAACAATTGTTATAAATGCAAATGATTCAAGGCATGTCAAGGAACTCAAAGCCGCCTCTCAACAGAATTAAAGAAACATATGTGTCTCAGATTATGAGAGTGGACTTTCAGGACCACTTTATGTGAAAGGTATAAATGAAAAATGAGACATTACCATCCATTCATTTAGGCATTTCACAGCAAGACACATAGTATGCAAAACTGTATAGAGGCACAATGAAAAAATTTAAAAGAGCAGAATATTTCAGTGATTATGGAATTCAGGTACAGATAATCAGGTTACAGATTATGGCAGAAAAGTATCAAATTCAAATATATAGTAGAAAACGCTGCTTGGTGATTTTGGGAGAGCATGGTAAAGTTAATTAAAATCTGTTTTAGGAAATTTCTAGGAGACTTTATTGTCATACAAAGAACTACAACAATATATTGGAGCTATCGTTAATTCTTAGCCAATAATAGAGTAATGATCCATTTGAACCCTCTCCTCAAACTCCTCATTTTTAGCAGCTAAAAGACTGACATCCATATCCGATCCAGCTAGATCTACTGAGGATGTTGGATGCCGGAGAAATGCCATCCTAAATAGGTATCAGTATTTACAATGTTTGCTGATTAACTTTTGGCATAGGTAGTCCAAGGAATATTTATTACAACTGAAGGATGCTCATTATACAATGCCTATTGACGTGGCATGCAAGTTGAAGAGGGGTGATGTGTTAATACAAGAGGACAAGTTACCTCGCCATATGTGTATCCTAGGGAATGCTGTAGACATTCATACAATATGAGAAGGTAAAGTATATGGTTGTACTTTGAAGAGTTCATTTAGAAGACTTCATTCATTAAGAAAACCAGTGTAACTACTTTATTATTTGGAACTTTAGAAGTTAGTAGGTATCTTGGTTTAATTTTTGGTAATTTAACTATTTTTGATGAACTTTCTCATCTAGGGGTAATAATATAAAAGAAATTATGCAAATATCATTGTCGGCTTTGTATAACACAAGAATTGCAGCATGCATTATACAGACTTTAAAATTGGGTTAGAATTTTTTCCTATGGGTTCTGTCTGCTCAGCGATTGAACCTTTTCCACTCTGTTGCCTTTTGCTAAGTGGATAATGTTTCTGTTGAAGGAGAAAACTGTTCATCCTATATAAAAGAATTAGTTGCTTACCCAAAATTCAATTTTTTGAGTCCATTAACATAAATTAACACAACAGGTGCTGTATTATACTTATGTAACAAGTTTTTTGACTTACTCAGTATTTTTCAACCCCCACCAAGAAAAGCATTTTCTCTCAATTTTGAGTAATTGAACCTATTTTCACTTAATTACCTTTTGCTAAGTGGAAAATACTTCTAACAAAGGAGAAAGCTGTTCATCCTAAATAAAAGAATTAGCTGCATACCCAAAACTAATTTTTTTCGGAGTCCATTAACATAAATTAACACAACAGGTTCTGTATAATGCATATAAATTGTATTATACTCATGTATTAAGTTTTGGGATTTACTCAGTAATTTTCAACCCCCTCCCAAAGAAAAGCATTTTCTCTCAATTTCAAGTATTATATTTAATGCATTGCCCAAATTTCAACAATTATTTTAGATTAACTGAATTTAATTTGTAAAAAATCCATTGCCAACTCCTTAAATTAAAAACTTGCATTTCTCACACAAATTTACATAATTTTTAACTTAAATTATTTCTATTTGAGAATTTAAAAGGCAAAATACATAACCAAGGGAATGTATATATGAAAAGTAAATCTACACTAAAGTATTATGCATGCATAAGGCACTGTCAGAAAGTGAATCACGTTATAGTTCAAGATACGTAAAAAATGCATAACATTTCTCTTTTAATTTCATGTAAAAGTGATGTAACTTACAGACATTGAAGGCGTCATAGGTGTCTGAGGAAAATTAAAACCAGGTTCCTTAGATGGTGTAGCTATCCCTGGTGCTTCTTCATATTCTGCTTTATCTTTTGGGCGATCCTCTATTGTTTGTTCTCGTTCCCTATCTCTTTCGCGATCTTTCCTTTTTTTTTCTTTCTTCATCTTTTTGCTTTTCAGTGCATCAGAATCTTTATGTCGTCTAAGCTTCTGCAGTAATGAAAATGAAAGCTTTATAAAGCCAATAAGAAATTCATTTATCAACATACACTATATCTTAATTTTAAGATTATAATAGAAAATGATAATACCTCAAGAGACAAATGAACAGAATATCAAATACTGATACAAACAGAAATGGAAGGTGGGGTAACACATAACTGTAAAAGATTGATTGTTAAACTTTTGCCAGACAACTGGCATGCTAAAAGACATATTAATTGGTCCATAATTATAATTGAGTGGAATATAAAAGGAAATGATAACTCACATGATAGCTGCAACTGATCAAATCCAGTATGCCAAATTAAATAAATTCTGTTATTATGGAAATATTACTTAACAAAGCATGTTTATGTAAAGAAATTTTGGGTTCATTTCTTAGTCTGGTGTTGGATCTTTACATATGCCTTCTTAGAGAAGGCATAAAGTTTAAAAGGTTAATGTAGAAAAGTTATATTGGGGGAAAAAGTTAATATAGTTTGTTTTTCACTGCTATACTGACTCAGCCTTCATAAGCTTTCTTTAAGGCCAGAAATTTCTGTTTGATTGTCAGAAGCATGCCTCATTTGACATATTTTTAATACGATATCAAACAAATGTGGCTGAACTAATTAATATAACACGACTATAAACAAAAACATAAATACATAACTAACTCATAAAAATAACTTGTTAAAATTGACTAATATAACACACACTTTTAGAACTATTATTTACTTTTTCACAATACGTGTAACATACTTTATTTACAAAAATATAATAATCGATTTAGATTATGTTACAACACACATGGGCTATCAGCCTAAGTACAGCAATGCTGTTGTAGAGAACTTTTTAAGAGAAACTGGATCATATTTATGTTATGTGTGACAAAGTTGCCAACCAAGGAGGAAAAAAATGGGAGGTTCCAACGCACAAACCAGGAGTTTCCATGCTGCACTGTTATGCCACTAACAAATTATAATTTTTTAGCATGCAACTAAATGAACGAGTTTTGCTTTTTGTACTTTGTAACATAAACGAGCACAGCACAATCAAAAACCACACGGAATAAGAAAAAGAGGCTTCCAAACAGTGGAAAATGTATGATTACTTACTAAAGTAGGCAATTCCTTTAGCAATAGATGTACAAAAAGAATTTTTAATGTCCTGTACAACGGTTTTATGCTGCTCACATAGAATTAAAGTTTAACTCCTCCAAACCCATTCCTGTTTATTTGAAAATTTTATTTAATGACTTTTTTTTAAATGAAAAATACACACTTATTAACATTTATTACGCTTTTGTGAATACTGACCACCTGTCCTATGGATAGCTTCATACAAACCATCTGCCTTACACAATTTGCACGATTAATATTCAGCAAGGAATCCACTATTACGAAAAAAAATAATGTAACAATTAAGGACTATTCACACAAGGTTCTATCTGAACTAATAAAAATAGAAGTAAAAAATCAGTCCTTTGAAATTTGAGCAAAGATTTCATAGCTGAAAATTCTTAGCTTTATGCACAGTAGAGCCAATAGATATAGGAAACTAACCAAACATGAAAGAGAAAATCTACTGCCATAAACAGTGTGCCAAGTATTATTAAACAACAGAACTGACAGAGCTTCTTAGAAAAATAGGGATGGTCTCAAGAGCTGCTGTGAAGTTATATTTTCGTTAAAGGGTACAGTTGCAGGTGTAAAATGATAGTGTTATTAAATGTGAAGGGGAAAATTTAATAAATAAGGATTTCATGATGAAAATAGAGAACATTACACAAAGACATAATTTATTAACTTACTATAACTATGTATAATGTTGAAGATACAAATAAGGTGACATTTTGTCAAAATTTAACATTTTTTGCATAAATTTAAAATACTGAAATAGAAAAATTTTCATGAAAGATCATGTACAAATAAATACAAAACACCAGAAAAAAAGGTAAAACTATGTTATACAGATATTTAAAAAAATAGCTAAAAATTTTCCTGAAAACTTCCTTTTTCTTATTTTTTTCTAATATTACTTCCAAAAAGCTACTTTACTAAGTTTGAATGAATGCACTGAAATTCAATTTTATCAGCTCTGTATCATTTTATCTTTTTTAATTGTCAAAGTTTCTTTTAAATTTTCCTAGCATCCTATTGCGCACACAAAGTAAACATAAATTGAAATAAAAAATAAACATACTTTTATGCTCAGTACTAAAAAAAAGATACCAAATATGTATCTTGAAAATTAGACTGTGTTGATTATACTGCAAAGCATAACTATCATGTAAAGGCAGCCGTGATTTGAAAATGTTAAAAAAGCTCCTACTCTAAGTGATGATTACAATTTACTTGTTGACAGCAACAACCCATTTGGTGGGCTAAGTAGTTGAAAGATTACATATCTGTCTACAGATACATATCCTTTGAGAAAAAGTAAAATAATTCAGCATTTTGACAGAGGTTTAGAATTAGAATCAAAGCACTGCCTGCTTCCATATATACATATACATATACATATATACAGTACAAAGTCTGTAATCCGGAATGATCTATAATCCGGATCTCAAAGCTACAAACTTTATGACCAGGCGTAAACGAATAATGCGTTTACGCATGCACATATGTGTTTACGCATGCACATAATGGGTTTACACATGCACATTTAATGTATAACGGAAGGTATAAGCTAGGCTAAAATATCTATGGCATTTCAGTTAATGTTACAACAGACTGCGCTGTTCCTTAATCTTCTAATTGGATTCGGCTTATTATTTTTTGCAGACTGTTAGAACAATTTTATAAAAATTAAGCTTGAACTTTTGATTATTTCAAAAAGAGTTTCCACTTCTGGAGCTGCCAAAGGATCTACAAAGCAAAAGCATGTTTCGATGTCCATTAAACAAAAAGTGGAATTGCTGCAAAAAATGGATAAAGGCCTATCCGTCTCCAAATTATGCGAGAAGTATAGCATTGGAAAGTCCACTATATATGACACAAGGAAAAGGAACTTTTTGAATTTTTTTGGAAGCATCTTAAACAACTTACATTGAAAGAAATGTTTAATAAAGTAAACAATAAAATATTAAGCTTTTTTTTGTAAATTTTGATACCCTTTAGATCATAATTGTTGTTTATTTCATAAATTACGATTTCAGATTTTTAATTTTATAATTTCTGCATGCTATCTTACCAGACTTAAATTGATGATCTATAATCCGTAAATACCCCTAATCGAGAATCACTGAAGTCCCGACGAGTCCAGATTACAGACTTTGTACTGTATATATTTAAATTATGAAATGGTAATACGATTAAATAACTGATATCATCTGCCTTAAATGAAACAAAGTAAAAATAGAAAAAAAAATTCACATAAATATGACCAAAACCTACTTCAGAAGATTAAGCAATTGATTTTTAAGCAAAGTATAAATAAATTAATTAACATAACACTTTTCATTCTTTTGAACTTCACAATTAATTTAATCTTAAATTATACAGAACGAAACTAGACAAATGAAATTTTATAAAAAACAGAATATCATACAAGTTTACAGAGTAAAAATATCAACAATAAAAAATTTAAAAATATAGTATAAAAATCTGAAAGCTTTCAGATCTTACATTAAGCCCAAAGGGGCTTTTTTTAGCATTTTGTGTGGTATCTTTATTTATTAAATATCATGTTCTTCAACACATAAATCATAAAATTCAATTCAACAGCAATATTGCAAAATAATTTTAAAATGAGCATATCTTTAGAATCTCTGATACACAGTCTCGCACACTGGAGATAAAAATGTTTCCTTCTGCACAGTGTTGCCATTGTTCACTTTCAAATCATTGAGTTTGTTAATCAAAAATTCATTAAAGTATTACAAAATATGAAATCGATAACAAACAAATTCCAAATTAGGACTTCCAGATGCCCATATTCAGTGAAGAATTACATTACTCAAAATTTGATGGCTCTAGATACCATTGTTTTATCACAACGCGATAAACATACACACATTTATGCAGATTTTTCAATTATTAGAATTATTTAATTTCTTTCAATATAACACTGGGTGGTAATATTTGATGGCAACAATTTGAAAAGTGAAACAGACATTTAAAGTTTTTGATGCAAATTGCCAAAACGAAATTAACAGCCCTTTAGACTAATAATTTCTGAATACTGTATAATCTTTTGTTAATATTACATTACAATTAAATAGATATGATGCACAGAGTGCATAATTGCTTTATCATATGATAATTAAATATTACATAATACAGCAGAATGCAAAGCTCAAAAGTTCATAAAACCATCTGAACCAAAATGTAAGCAAGGGAAAGCAGATCTACATCTCACTTATCGGCAGGAGCTGATGCTTACTGAGGGTTCAAGCAAATAAGAACAGCTTAACTCAGTTAGATCAGAGATCCATACATTGTTTAACTCTGTTGAGGCTGTTGAGAATCAAGTGTGAAAGGACCTTTAAGTTTCCATAAGTAAAAATTACAGCAACATTTAACAATCATAAAACTAACACACACTGAACAGAATATATCCATTAAAGCACTTTCAGGCTTACACAAACCAGTTTTATAATTTCCTCCCTTATATTCTAGACCAAGAATGATTATTCAGGTTTTCAATTATTTTAACATTCCTCTGTATTGCTGCAAAGTTCTAAGTGAAAAGATGTATCAATACACACAGTTCATGTGGTTTACACTTTTCTTTCAAATATACAACCCAGTCTAAATTAAGATATTAAAGTATGTTGTATGTAACTTTCTAGGTATTTGTGGTAATTGATTAAAATAGCCTTTAACGATTGCAACCAAGATGTACAAATATTCTTGTTTATAGGTTGCTCATGGGCATTTTAAAACCAAGAGTTACCACTGAACAAGATTAGCTGATGTTCACAGCAAGGTGATTGCAATTTTGAGCTCATTTACGGCAGCTACTAGCTCTGGAACATTTACTTTCAATAACAGTTATTCTAAATGAACTGGCTAACAGCACCACACTTATTATAAGTGGGGATAGCATATACAAAATGCTTCAGAAAGAAGATTTTATATGCTTTCAAAACTGTTCTTATACATAATACTGGAAATTCCTGTCTGATAATGCTATTTCGTTTCAACACACATGTACATGTTCCTTTGAAATATACATGACTATGTCTCTGTATCATTGCACTTATGCACATGTGCTCTTTTAAATTAACTGAAACATCTCATATCATTAAGGGAGAGTGGTCGTGTATACATTGACTAATGATAAAGTTCATTTATCTCACTGTATTTTGCATGAATTCTAGCAAGGAAGAAATACTATGGAAGCATGTCAAATTTTAGTGAAAGATTTTGGTGGAAATACAGTTCTGTTTTGAACAGAAAGCCCAGGAGATAGCTAAAACATTTTGAAGCATGTGATTTCAGCCTTAATGACAAGCCCAGCTCTGGATAGCCATCTTTAATTATTGACGATACTGTCAAGACCCTGATATAGCAACATACATTTTTGACAGCATTAGAGATTATAGAAAGCTTAACTCAAACAACACAACAAACTTTAACAAACCATTTTGGGCCATATTCGCAAACAACGATTGGTTTACAAATACAGTACAAAGTCCGAGATCTGGACTCGCCGGGACTTTGGCGATTCCAGATTTGGGATTTTTCTGGATATTAGATCATTAGTTTAAAACTTGTAAGATGACATGTAGAAATTATAAAATTAAAAATATGAAATAATGAAGCATTTACCATATAAAGAGTAACATAATTTACAAGAAGAAAAGCTTAATATTTATTTTATATTATTAAACATTTTTTCAATGCAAATTGCTTAAGTGTCTTTTTTGTGCTAATATTTTCTATTTAATTTTGTAGACAAACATAATTTCTTATTCAGTTACAAAGTTCCATTGTTCAAGTCCTGTAATTCATGTGTCAAGAATTCAAACTAATTTCTTCATCAAAATTTTTTCATTTTCAACAACCTCTCTGTCACATTCTTCACTATTGGTAGCAGTATTTTCTGGATCTAGATCCATACTACAGATTTTTCTGTCTGTTAACCGATTGATTATTGTCATCGCAATGAAATAATAATCTTATATCATCTTGATTTATTACCGCTTCTCCACATTTCTTTAAAAAAATCCATTAATTGGAAAATTTAACCTTTGGTTTGCAATGTACAAAAACCTTGATATTCGTGGTTATCACCCTCATATGCTCTGTGAAATATGCTAGCTGGCCATAAATTATTATAAGCATTTTATAAAGTATCTGGAGACACAGCCTCCCACGATCTTGTGATACTACACAAAGCAGATTTTACAGTAAAATATTTCAAAAATTTTTAATAGTTTTGCATTATTCAAGAAATTTAACGTGGATTTTAAAAATTCTACTTTATATTTACATTTCACTGCATGCACTATTCCGATATCCATAGACTGAATGCTGGACATACAATTTGGAGGAAAGAATAATATATATACATTATCTTTCACTAAATCTAAGTGAAACATGAGCCAAACAGTTGTCTATAACCTGGACAATTTTTGCATCATCAGGTAATCCAACTGAATTCTGCCGAGGCTTGGGTATGAAATGATTTTCAAATCAATCATTCATAACTCTTGTGGCATCATGTTGTTTTGTTTGCACAATATACAACGGGGAAACTCTTTACTCTTTAAATGCTTGAGGTCATGTATTTTTTTCCGAATTAGGAAAAGTTTACTCTTGTGAATTTCTGCAGCATTTGCGAAATGCTAAAATGGTTAGTCTCGCTTTGAAATCCTGACACGAGTTGGAGCCTTTTCTGTAGAGGTTGCTACGGTACTTTGTGGTACATATTGCCAGAAAAGACCAGTTTCATCAGCATTGTAAATTTGTTCGGAGATAATTGTTCAGTAGTAATGAATTCAATGAATTCATTTGCAAATTGTTCAGCAGCTTCAGTATCAGCTGATGATTTTTCACCTGAAATTTTTAATTGTTTTATACCATGGCGATTTTTAAATTTGGTTAACCAACTTGTTGAATATGTACACTCAGTTTTTTTAAGTTCATTTCTTAGCGAAATGAAATATTTTAGCTTGAGCAAATTACCATTTGACCCGTCAATGCACACCCTCGCTCTGACGCTGTCTGACGCATTCAGTCATCACTTTGTCATGATCTTCACGCTTAGCATAACGAATAATTTTCTTGTTATTCATTGCGAGTGCGGTGTCACAATCTACAAAAAATTCAAAAAGTTCCTTTTTCTGTTTTCTTATGTCATACATAACTGATTTTCCAATGGTTGATTTACTCGCATAATTTTGAGACCTTTGTCCACTTCTTTCAGCAATTCTACAATGGACCTTGAAATGATGTCCATTGAAATGATCCACAATGGACTTTCACTTTGTAGATCCTGTTGCAGCTCCAGAATTAGAAACTCTTTTTGACACAATCAAAAATTGAAACTTTAATTCTCATAAAATTGCTGTAATAAAAACAGCCTGAAAAAAATAATTAAGCTGGATTAAATTAGAAAGTTAAGGAATAGCACAATCTGCTATACTGACTGAAATTCCTTGGAAACAGTATAGTATAACTTTAGCCTAGATTAATAGCGTCTGCTATACATTATTGGATATGCATCATCAGATTGGCGATGAAAGACAAGTTGTTCTGCTAAATTTTGTCTTGCTTCTATCGCACACTGAGACAAGCCTGATCTTTATTTATTATACTTATCTCTATTTCTTGCACACACACACTTAAGCCCTTATCTGTGTCCTGAATAAATAAATTCCCACATACACTTAAGGCTTATCCAGAGCCTGCACTGGTTCTTAGTTTATGTAATAAACAAATCAGCTATTCTTAATTCAAATAGCACTATCTTTTGGCCTATGAGTCGCATTAACAAAATCTATTTTTAGCATATAGAAATAAATTTTGTTAAATTCTTCCTTGTCAATATTTCTTAGTGCATTTAACTTAAATCTGTAATCATTGCCAAGCGTAATGTCAGCATTAAAGGTTACCATACTCTTTGTTATTCAATTAATAATTTAAAAAAATTGTTTGGGCATCGCGTCATAACTCATTACTCAAGTTGGCATGTGTTGATAAACATGTGGTGATGAAAGCAAAATATAATAAATAATGATTCGCCAGTTTGGGCATCAGGGATATCAGTAGGTATAAAATCAACGATGAATGTTTCTGTTTGAGATGTATGCCAAGCAGATATGCAGCTAGGGAGCCAAATAATTGCACACACAAATTTATGTTAAATTACTGTTTCTTCAATAACAAGGTATTTAATGCTGAATGGAAATTAGGAATCGGCACTCTCCACGTTTTATTTCTGGAGGAAAAAATCAAATGCCCATGCATAAAGTATTAAAAAAAATTATTGAGGTCTAGATTTTAGATCATTCCACATATTGGACGCTTGGATCTTGGACTTTGTACCGTATTTCAAATGGGTGCCTCATTAGTTAAGTGAGAAAAATTTGCATGACTGAGTTATCATATACACATCTCTGCCTGCTCAGAATAAAAACAAACCCTTCTCGGACCAGACAATGGGACATTCAAGGACCAATAAATTACAAGCTTTTGAAACCTCATGGAAAGTTCAATTTAGAAAGATATAGTCAGCAAATACATTATTTAAACAAAGCAGTTGAAGAAAAGAGGCCGGCAATATTCAATAAAAAGAATAATATACTGCATCATAGTGCCAGACCAGATGTTGCTTTAGCAACTTGTCAGAAAATCGCACAACTAGGCTGAGAAATTCTTCTGCATCTACCATACTTCGGAAATCTAGAACCCTCCAATTTTTACTTGTTTCTCTTCTTATAAAATTTTTTTAAGAGAAAAAATTCAAAACTAATGCAGATGTCAGCCAAGCATTACTTGAGTTCTTCACGTCAAAGGCCAAGACATTTTTCAAAAATGGCACTTACAAATTACCATAACACTGGAGAGAGGTCATAAGTAATGACAGAAATTGCATTGTACAATAAACATTATTAAAGGTGTGAAAAATTTATTATTTTCTCTCGCTTCCTAAATGGACAGAATTTTCTGGTAGCTCTTACTCAATACAGAAATTTGTCATACAACACCTGATAGATAAAACATTATGTTCTTGTACTCAGTAACATTCGGTATGTCATCTTAACATAACATTTTTCAGAGAAGCACAAGATGATGTTTTTGTTTTTTGGGTTCCCAGGTCTGCAAAACTGACCTTTTATTCTTTCTTTTCTTTGCAGATGTCAAAAGAATACTGTACATGCCTCTCCAATAATATTACAAGAATTTCTGTGACACTGCTATTGCTATAGAGAAGCCAAAGTGTATGCCGATTAATGGAAGATGCACACATAGAATGCCAAGCAGAGAAAACATTTATCCTTTCCCTTTCAGAGAATATCGGACATGTTTCTATATAGTAGTGGTATAATGTTTCACTGTTATACAGTGAAATAATTTTGCAAGTACATAAAATGTGCTCCTTTGTTTTCCAATTCATCTAACTCCATACAGATGGAAATTTTCTGAAAGAACATAATATTTAGAACAAAGACAATCAAATAAACGATAACTAATAGGATTGTCCGAGCTTTTAATCCTCATGCATAGTAAATGCATAAATCTCAGCATTCGGTATTAATAAATACCAGTGGCCTTGGTATCTTTCCACTCCAAAGCAAAAATGCCCTGTCATACAAATATAAAAAGTGAAAACAAAATATTTACAGATATAAAATACTTTTTACTATTTCACCTAGTACCACTCCCCTTTTTAGTGTTTTTTGATATTCCAATGTTAAACATTAACAAAGTCAAATAAAAGCCATTTTAAATTAGTATTGATAAGCCATTTTAAATAAAATAAACACTGAAAATTTACCTCTTTTTCTTTCTTTGTCTTATGCTTCTTAGATGTACTCCCATCCCAATTGTTTAATGATTCTTGAGCAGGTACAGATGAAGGCAGTTCAGCATTATTGATAGGTCTAAAAGTATTACTACATCATTTTAATTATTAAATATAAAAAAGTTCCTTCTAAATTAAAAGAAAAATTTAAAATAATAATAGAATCTCAGATCAGTGATCAAAAGCATTCAATTTCAGGAGAATATCTGAAAGCCTGAGCTGCCAAAAAAAAATTAAGAATATTGACACAAATTCAAAATTAACAAACTCAATACATTATTAACTAATAAAATAACTTGAAGGAGGGAATATACAGCTCCTTCATCCCCCCAAAACACCATAAATATGCCTCAAATGAAAGAAAGCTACCCACACAAACACACAAGTACGTTCCAAAAAATTATTTTAATCTAAAAAAGTTGCATATGCTAAGTGACTATACTCAGAGGAAAACAAAATTAGGGGTATCATACAGCTGTTAATTATGAATGACAAGAATGAAATAAACGCTTGAATTTGGTACTCTGTTACTGCATATTCCAAAATGGTCATCTTCATAGTGAAAGCTTAGGATACGAATCACATTTTGACAAATCAATGTAAAACTAATTCTCAAATGTCAAGAGATCTGAAGATTTTGCAAACCAAAGATTTATTCTAATACTTTGCAAAAAGTATCTGTTCATGCTCGTTTAGTAAAGCCTGCTAAAAAATTCCATGTAGCATGCCCAGGTCAGAATGGTACCATGGTAAGCTACAGCTGATGAGCCATCATGCATAACACATATATATGATGGGCTACTGATACCGACTGATCTAATAATTTAATTTAATGCTGATGATCTGTGTGATATTAAAGCCCAAATCACTACTTCTGAGGCAGAATTAAAATGAACATTGAATACAGTACTGGCCATTCACCACCTCAAGTTTACTTTGTGCAACATTATTGAAGATTCAAGATGATACTTTCATGTTATTGGCAATCTTTAAAAAGGAAGGCTTGAATGGAAATTTATAAACATATCTGTATCCATAAAGGAACATCCAAACATTATACATGTGTAGCAATGTTGCCAGCTGATAAATACAGGTCTGTTACTGCATCATGTTGGATACATTTTTCTGTGTTGTGATATTCATCCTTGTTGGTCCATTTCCAATACATGTCACTTTTCTTTAACCTTCCAGCACGCATGCTTGGCAATTCTACATGAGCACGCGTGCATCCTATTTTTTACGATTCGTTATTTTGCCAATTTGGGCAAGAAAAACGACAGAAATGAATGAATATAGATAATAAATTTGTTAAGAAATAAAATATTAATCTTATTATTGCAAAATACAAATGATATCACATTAAAATATAAGTAAATTATTTTTATGTTCTTATGTAGTGAGATGGAAATGCAATGATGTATTTTATTATATAGAAAATTTTAAATTTATTAACATTTACAAATGTTTAGAAGCATTAAGAAGAACTGGACTGGAATCAAAGTCATTAAATAAACAAGATATATCTTTCTGAATATGAAAAGCTTTGAGGAAATTCAATTCACCAAAGGAATAAGCTTTATGTATAATTTTTGAAAACTCAAAGACAAAGTTAAGATTAAATTATGATGATGATTAGCTATGAAAAATTTGTTCATTTCTTCTATTCAAACACAAGAAATTGCCAAAAAGAATTCCTCAATGCAAAACTTTAACACTCTTTTAGTTTGACCGATTTATCTCAAAGCACAATGGGAAGATATGGTATAAATTTCCTAGGAATTAAAGTCAGAAATGGAATTTTTAAGAATTGAACAATGCATTCTATTGATAGGTGAGAAAATGACTTGAATTTTGAAATTCTGGAAAATCTGTGCAATTTTGTAACTAATAAAAGGATGAAATGGAACAACAAGATTATTAATGTTATTTGAAACAGTGGAATGTCTTCTTTCACGGCAATGTGAACATTCTTTAAAGGTTTTATGAATAACCCTGGAAGCAAATCCTATGTCGGCGGCAAATGTTTTCAAATAATTGAGTTCATTAGAAAGCAAGGATTCTGAAAAGCAAACTCTGAGAGTGCAAAATACATAATAGTAAGAAGCCAATTTGCTTAGCTGGGTACATGATTTAGCATGGTGAGTCAAACGCAAAAGAATGGAAAAGGGTTTACAGTAAACAGTACAGTTAAAATCAGATTCAATGCATATCATAAGAATGTATAGGAATGAGTGTATTGCGACTTCTGAAATTGAACCTGACAATGCACAATTGCAAGTTATATGGATGCAAACCCTGCACGGTCCTGTAGTGTAATGGATCCAGCCTAACTGTTCATAACACCTTGTCCATAGTATTTCCCCTCACATTAAACACATAGAACAATGCATTCTATTGATAGGTGACAAAACGACTTGAAAATTGAACTTCTGGAGAATCTCTGCAATTTTGTAACTAATAGTGTGTGTGTGTGTATTGAGAATACGGGAAAGCACACTAGGGCTATCTGCCTAACGGGAGGGATGCCTTTCGTGGAGGACTTTCTAAGGGAAACTGGCTCGTATACACGTTACACATGGAGAAAACCACAAAAACGCCCATGCAGCCAGCCCGTTTGTGGGATTCGAACCTCGGACCGAACTACCAGTGTTCAGTGACTTTACCGCTCGGCCGCTGGTGGGCTTTGTAACTAATAGAAGAAAATGAAATGAAAATGGAAGAACAACATGATTATTAATGCTATTTCTAATAGTGCAATGTCTTCTTTGATGGCAAGGTGAACACTTTTCAGAGGAATTTATCAATAACCATGGGAGAAAATCCTCTGTCAATGGCAAGTGATCTCAAATAATCGAGTCCTCATAGCAAGCATAGGCTCTGAGGAACAAATGTTGACAGCATGACATTCATAATAATAAAAGAAATCATTTTTTGCTTAGCTGACTGACATGACTTAGCACTGGAAGACAAAAAAAAAAAAAAAAAAAAAAAAAAAATTACTATAAACAGTAGTGTTGAAATCAGATTTATTGTGCATTATAAGAACATCAAGGAAGGGAAGGGCATTGTCAGATTTCTTTCACAGTATCAAACAAAAGTACTAAAATGTAACTTCAACTTTTCAAAGACATCAAAACTTTCAGTTCTTTAAATCATTGCTAATATTTTAAATTCTCTTAAATTTCAGAAACACAGAAAGATACAATCCGCTGGGTGTATTTTTCATGATTAATCATAACATGAATTTTAATTAATCATGACATGCATATGATTAACTTAATTAATTATACCATGAATTCGTATGACAAATCATTTGTTTAAAATCTTAACCAACAGGAAAGGAAGGCCTTATATTCATTCTAATCCTAACATTATAATTTTTAAAGCTCATTAAGGGTGGACAGATCATTATTATGGACAAACAAAACCACATATACTTCTGACCTGTTAAAAAGATAAATTAAAACAGCTGTTAAATCTTCCCATATACTTCTAACTCAGTTTTTTAAAAAAATAACTCATTCCACTTATTGATAACTGCACAAAGTTATGCAAATTTGGGGAGCTCTTGCTCTACCCGAATTTGGAATTCTATTTTGACATATAGTTTCAAATTTCAAAATGACATCATATCTTTGTATCAAATATTCAGTTTCTATACTTTCTATTTTACTTCATAACAGTATTTCACACTGTACAAAATTTTTTTGAAGTCACTGATAAACGTAAAGATATTTCTCTCCTGCACTCCACTGTAGTTTCTCTAATTGCTAAATCACTATTTACTAATTACCATTACTAATTATCACTACTCCATTTCACACATACTGAGATTGAATTACTTTCTCTTACTAAAGCGTCATTGACTTCAAAGCACTTTTTTCCAAAGTGAATATTAACACCAAATTGAAGGATTAGCTTTGGGTAATCGCCTCTCTCAATCTAACCTAACCGTTGTGGCAAAGAATACTCTGGCTGTGTACCTAAAGTAAGGAATGCCTTAGTAGAGGCCTTTCTGAAGGAACCACCTCGCATTCACGTTACTCATGGGAGCGCACCTCGGGAACATCTAATGCATTTAATACATTCGTCTGTTTCGGAAAAAAAGTAGAACCTGCAACTATGAGCTTCCAAAAAGATTCTCTTTAAGCTTGTTCATTTAAAACAATCCACTAAACACTGTTTGATGCAGAAATACTTTTTATAGTTGAACTATTTAATACCAAGTTAAAATTGGGTCAAGTGAGAGTAATTTCAAGCCTTGTATTTTTAAGAAGTGCCAATGAAAATATTGAAAAAAAAAAATGTTTTTTGGTAAATTCTGCAAATAAAAAAAAAAAGGCAACTTTCTAAAATTAAAAAAAAAAAAAAAAAAAAAAAAAAAAAAAAAAAAAAAAGGCTGTTATTTCATGTTTATTTCCATTTATGGTACTTATTTCAAAAATAAAACATAAAAGTAGTACACAATATACAGTAATATATCCAGACTTTCTCTTTTCTTATTGATTTCTTTCTTTCTTTCTCTTTTGATATTTTTTAATGATCTCCCCGCCCCTCTAAATTTATACATTTTATTTGAGATTTTGAGAATTAGTAAAATTCCTTGAAAAATATGCTGAAAATCCTAAGAAGGAAATCTCTGTATATTTGGAAAATCCTTAATGTGTAGTTTTATTGCCAGAATTTCATGATTTTAAAATGAAATCACCGATATACGGTCACAAGTCCGAGCCTCCCAAGAGATAAATACAGCAGCTTCTTTCTTCCGTAAATGATTTTGTGTTTAGCCATTTTCAATCAATCAGCGAATGTACAAAAGTAACGGTCCGTCAATAAAACAGCACAAGAACAAATGTTCAAAACAAATAAAAAAAACTGGTCGCGAGTGACTGATTTATTGCTTTGCAAGACGTCTCCGATTTATACTGATATGCCCTTTTTATATAGTGTTGTTGGAAATTTTCAGTTTTAATTCAATTTTAAATACTTCATCCGTGTGCTTTTAGGACGATCTGCTTGGAAATAATTAAAGCCTACGGGGTAAGCTACACAACCATTTCATGTTGATAAAGGAAATGTAACAATTTGACT